AGGGTCCTTCCTCTGTCCCGTCCACAAGTGCCTTCCTGAGGGCCTGGGTGTATCGGCCAGGAGAGGACACGGAGGAGGAGGAGGAGGAGGAAGAGAACAGCGACTCAGGGCCACAGGCCTCCCGTCAGAACCAGAGTGCCTTCCTCAGGACCTGGGTATGTCGACCTGGAGAGGATACAGAGGAAGAGGAAACTACTGAGGAATGGGCAGACACTGAGAGCCGCCCTTGCCAAGTGGCCATCTATCTACCTGGCGAGAAGCCACCCCCTCCCTGGATGCCTCCCCGGCTGCCTCTCCGACTGCAAAGGCGGCTTAAGTCCTTAGAAACCCCAACTCAGCATCCGAATCCTGGGACTCCCCTAAAGGCCACCAAGGTAGGCACTCAGGGCTCAGATTCCTGACGTTTAGGGAAAGGGGTCTAGAACCCCTGGGTCTGAGGGAGGAAGGGGCTGGAGGCTGGGACTTCTGGGCCCCCAGAGGGTTGCAGGGGGTTGCATGTGAGCCCTCTGGGGAGACTCACCTGTAATGCAATTCTTTGCAAGAGGCTGGGCCCCTGGGATTTCCTGAAGAGGAGGGAGCAGTTGTGACTCAATCATGCCAGCCTCCAGGGAACCACCTCTGTCCTGTGATTCTGATGGGGAATCCCTTGGCAGGAGGGTGACTAACCAGATAGCAATTCCGTGTAACTAATGAGTGTTTTGTTTTTTTTCTCTGCCCTCTGTGTCTCTGGTGTGGCTTTGTGCACTTTCTGTATCTTCCTGTCGCCTTGTGTCTGCTGGTCCGCCCCCAGGTGCGCTTTTCTGAGAAGGTCTCCATCCATTACCTGACTGTGTGGGCGGGGCCTGCCCGGGCTGCACGCCGGGGTCCCTGGGAGCAGCTGGCCCGGGATCGCAGCCGCTTCGCCTGCCGCATCGCCCGCGCCCAGGAGGAGCTGGGCCCCTGCCTCACCCCTGCCGCCCGGGCCAGGGCCTGGGCCCGCCTCAGGAACCCTTCCCTGGCCCTGGCCCCCACAAGTGTTCCTACCCAGACTACTACTTCCTCCGGCCCTTCAACTTCCCCTGTCCTGGCCGCGCACCTGAGCCCTGCTGTGGCCACACCTCCCTTCCCTGCTTGTGAGTCCCCATCTCCTTGTCCAGACCTTGGGGGGAGGCGTGGCTAAGACCACGTGGTTTGTGTTATTTATTTTTTATAAAGTATTGGTTTATATTTAAAAAATAAAGCCTTTTTCTTTCCAAGCATCAATGTCTCAGTGAGTCTAAACTGACAGTATCCCACAACTCCTGGGTCCCCGAAATAATTGCAATAGTTTAAGCCCAGTGTGCCAGTAGAGGGTAAAAACTACATTTCCCATCATCCCTCGAAAGTGCCTCCTCCCTGTCCTGAAGGACTTTTTGAAATAAAGACTGCTGGGCTTTGTAGTTTTTCTTTAGCTTACTCCTAGTTCCCCCCCCAAAAAAAATTTCCTATATTTTGTTGTTGAGAATATAGACTCAAAAAATGTTTTTGGTGTAATACCTCCCCCAAAAAACTGTGACCCTTGGTCACCCATTGGACCTGGAACTCACTCCCATAGCTGAATTTTCAAACAATAGAGAGGTCTACAAGGTGTACAGTAACTAAGAAGGTAGACAGTCCTTAGAACAATCAACCATTGAGATCAAAAGGGCAGCATTTGCCCAAGGACACTACAGAAGGTAACAAGGGTTAAGAGGAGGAGGAATAGAAACAGGAAACAAACATAGGATGTGTGAGGAGTGATGCTACCTCCAGAGGGCTGTAATCAATGACAAGAAATAATGTGTGTGAACTGTTGAATGTCAATTTTCATCCAAATCACAATAAAAGTTTAAAAATTAACAAAAAGACCAGCCTTGTTGGTCTCAAAAGAGGCTGGAGGAACCTCCAAGACTATGGCCCTAAGACACCCTTCTGACCTGGAACTAGCCATTCCCAGATCCCATCTTTCAGCCAGTCAATGGACAGGCCCAACAGTAACACCTGAGAGAACGTGTTCCTTTGAACGATCAATTATACCAGATCAAAAGGACAATATGTCCCCTAAAAGCAAAGATGAGAAGGTAGGAAGGGTTAGAAAATCCAGACAAAAGGAGAGAGAACCCAGGGCAGAAACGGGGTGCTGACACATTGTGGGGAATGCAGCCAATGTCAGGGAGTGCTTTTTGTATGAACTATGAAACGGGAAACTAATTTGCGCTCTCAATTTTCATCTAAAGCACTGCGGTGCAGTCAATTACCCGGTATGGCTCTTCTAGCCGTAAGTCTGTGTAAACTCCATGGTGGAATTTGCTGTGAGCAACTGAGGAACTCCTGATTATAAATGTTATTCACCTGGGGTATTTCTGTTGGAAGTGGCACAAAGCAATGTTCTGGGAAGGTGGCTGTCTCTCAGGTGCTTAGGATTCTGATGCTATGATTGGCTAGTTTGGCCACTCTGCCAGGCTCAAAAGGAGGCCTCCTAGAGGCAGAACTCTCTCTGACCTCTGGCTAAGGAAGACGTGTTGCTGAGAGAAAGAGACACGGAGAGACATGCACTGCTAAGAAAGAGACACCAAGAGACAAGCATTGCTGGAAGAGAGACTGAGAGAGACTGTTGGGTGAGAGACGGTGGGCTGGGAGAGAGACTGAACGTTGTTCCTGAACTTGAATCTTAGCCTGGTGCTTCCCTAATAAACCCCATAATCTGTGAGTTCTGTGTGGCCCCTGCAGTGAATTATTGAACCCAGCAGAAAAGGGGTAAGTGCTAGAGGAGGAACAGTTGGTGGAAGGGCTGGAGGGAGGCAGTATGTCTGGCCTCACAGTAATAGGCCTTGGGCTACTGATAGTGCTTCTGTCTTCCTCTTGTGGGGTTAGAGGAGGTCGGAAGATGTGGCCTCCCTGCCCTTTTAGCAAGCACACTAAAAAAAAAAAAAAAATAATAGCCCCCAAGTTTATTTTTGTACTGCTTTTAGTTCAGTCCCCACATCTATCCAAAAAGAAAAATCAAACTCACTACCATGATCCCCCCACATCTATAAACCAAAGCAATCATTATTCTAGTTTCTATCAACATAGATTAGACGCTCTGGTGGCATAGTGCCTAAGGCATGTGACTACTAACCAGAAGGTTGGAGGTTCAAACCCACCAGCCACTCCTCGGAAGGAAGGTGGGCAATTTACTTCCGTAGAGATATTGCCTTGGAAACCCAATGAGTCAAGTCAAGTCAATGGCAGTGACTTTGGTTTGGGCTTTGCTCCCATAAAGACTGACAGCCTGGGAACCTGTGGTGCAGTTCCACTCTGTCCTCTAGGGGCGCTGTGGGTCAGAATCCCCTCCAGGCACTGGGTTTGGTTTGGGCTTTGCTCCTGTGAAGGTAGGAGCTCTGGTGGTGCAGTGCCTAAGGCACTTGACTGCTAACCAGAAGGCTGGCGGTTCTAACCCACCAGCCACTTCTCAGAAGGAAGGTTGGGCAATCTGCCTTGGAAACCCAAGGAGGGGTCACTATGAGTTGGATGTGACTTGACGGCAGTGACTCTGATTTTTTTGTCTTATCACCATCGATTACTTTTACCTATTCTGGGCTTCAAATACATGGAATTATATAGTATGTACTCTGTTGTGCCTGGCTTCTTTTCTTCAATATAATATTTGTTAGCTTAATCCATGTTATGTGTGTATATTAAAAATCTAGTTTCTACATGTACAATTCAATTACATTTATTATATTATTTGAATTGTGCAACCATTCTCATCACCCTTTTCTGAGATGTTTCTCCCTCATTAACATGAATTCACTGTCCCCTAAAGTTCCCAGCTAATCTTATGAGCTGCTATTGCCAATTTGATCCCATACAAATAGTTCTTAAAAGAGACATATAGCACTGGGCAAACTGGCTACCAACGACCTCTATCAAGTGCTGAAGAGCAACAATGGCTCCTTAAGGACTATAAGGTGCACCTGACACAAGCCGTGATATTTTCAATCACTTCATATGCATGTGAGAGCTGGACAATGAGTAAGGAAGACTGAAGAATTGATGCTTTTGAGGTGTGCTGGTGAAGAATGCTGAAAGTACCGTGGACTGCTAAAAGAACTAACAAATCTATCCTGGAGGAAGTGCAGCTGAAATGCTCCTTGGAAACGAGAATGGCCAGACTTCATCTCACCTACTTTGGTCATGTTGTCAGAAGGGACCATTCTCTGGGGAAGGATATCCTACTTAGTAAAGTGGAGGGTCGATAAAGAGGGGAAGGCCCTCAATGAGATGGTTTGACACAGTGGCTACAGTAATAGGCTCAAGTATAGCAACCATTGCAGAGCTAGCGCAGGACTGGGCGGTGTTTCGTTCTGCTGTGCATAGGGTCGCTGAGTCAGAGATGACTCCCCAGCACCTAAGAACGACAACATAAAAGAGCATACTGCTCAAGGGAGGCCTCTTCACTAGGTAAGCCAAACGACTGTTTGGTCCTCAGATGACTTCAGAGGGTATTTTGGTTTAAGGTTAAAAAGTTACCTCGAGAAAGAAAAAAAAAAAAAGCAGGAAACAGGTTTACTGGCCCGATGGAGCCTGGTGGAACCACTGAGACTATGGCCCCTAGCTGCCCTTCAGGTCTGGAATTGAACACACACCTGTGGCTTCCAGCCAAACAGTAGACAGGCATACTAGTTGAGCATTTATCTGAGGTAGATACACTCCTTGGAAAGAACAAGCAAGAGAGAAAGAAGGGCTGCTCAGGCACAGGGAGACAGCTCAGGGGGTAGGGGTGCATGGAGGGATGGTCACAGGGAAGCGGTACCTGTCGGGAGGAAGTGGGAGAGGAGATGTTGCATTGTGCTAAATTGTGGTCAATGTCATGAGACAAAGTGTATATGATCTGCTGTATGGAAAATGTATTTGCTCTGTAAATTTTCATCCAAATTACAATAAAAATAAAAATTAAAAAAAAAAAGTTATCTCAGGACAATAGTTTTCAGGAGTTTATCCACCCTCCATGGTTCCAGACAGTCTAGTATCAATGAGAATTTGAAATTCTGTTCTGCAGTTCCCCCCTTTTGATGATGATTCTGCTATAGAATCTTTGAACAACATGTTCAGTAATGGCAGCCGGGCACAATCCAGTTCTGGTTTCAGGGGAAAGGAGGCAGTCGTTCATGGACGCAAGTAGCCACACATTCCATCTCTTCCTCCTGTTTGTGACGCCCCTTCGTCTGCTGCTCCAGGTGAATAGGGATCCATATGGTTTCATTTGCTAATTTTTAGACCATCAGACCTCTCTCCACAGCAAAGGTTATATAGGCATTAGCTAGTGTTATAATTAAGAGCTTCCCTGATTGTGTAACAGTTAAACACCAGGCTGCTTATGGAAAGGTTGGCCACCCAACAGGTCCACAAGACAAAGCCCTGGCAATCTGTTTCCGTAAAGATGACAGTTTGGAATACCCTATGGGGCAGTTCCACTCTGTCACATGTGGTCGCTATGAGTCGGAATCAACTCAATGACACCTGACAACGGCAGTGTTACAATCGCTCTTTCTCACCCACGTGTGTTGGCAGTTCCCATTCAAGTTCACATCTCCAGCCCAGAATTCTCCAACCTCAGAGGAAATAGCCATCAATTCCAAGCGGGGCGGGCTGAATGTCCCACACCTGGTCCAACCTCATACCTTCCCATCCCCTGCTTGTTAGGTTGTTGTTAGTTGCCATAGAGTTGGCTCCAACTCATAGCAGCCGTATCTACCACAGAACAGAGGTGGCCCAGTCTTGTACCATTTTCACATTCGCTGGTGTGCTAGAATCCATTGTTGTATCCTTTGTTTATTTTGAGCTGCTCTGGGGAGCTCTGGTGACGTAGTGCCCAAGGCACTTGACTGCTAACCAGAAGGCTGGCAGTTCAAACCCACCAGCCACTCCTTGGAAGGAAGACTGGGCAATCTACTTCCATAGAGATACTGCCTTGGAAACCCAAGGAGGGGTCGCTATGAGTCGAGTCAACTCGAGGCAGTGAGTTTGGGTTCTTGGTGTTTAGGGCGCTCCTGGAGGGCTGTGGTCGTTTGGTTTGTTTGTCAACGTGGCTGGGCCTGGCTGAGTGGCTGGGCAGCTGGTGGTAGTTACTCCCCATGATGAGACTGGCAATCAACTCCATGGTGGGATCTACCACAAGGAGCTGAGTAGCTGCTTTGGGTATGTGCTTTGCTTCCCGTATATAAGCAGCAGCTTTGGGAACGGTCTCGAGCCTATGGCATCCTTGGACCCTGCATGTGACTGTGTCGTTGCTCAGCAGCCTGCTACGCTCTGCCAACCTTGGGACTTACAATGGGCTTGAATTAATGGCCTGCTGTGTGGTTTGGTAACATCAGGACAGTGCCTTTTTACTTGTCAACCTTGGGCTTGTCAACCTCAGCAGCCAGTAGCTGCCTGAGTGAAGAGATGCCCCCAGCTTCCGTGGGCCGGGAGCAGGAGGCAGAGCTGAAGCCTAAGGTCAAGGAGCTTTCACTCAGCCCCTAGAGCCTGGGACTTTGAACTTGGACTTTTAGCCTCCCAAACTGTAAAATAATAAACTTCTGTTTGTTAAGGCCATCCCATTTGTAGTGTATTCTTGTCAGAGTGGCACTAGGGAACCAGAACACAGGCTGGACCCATTAACTCAGAAAGCCTACCCATCCAGTCAATCGGGACTCATAGTGACTCTACAGAGATTCTGTGGGACAGAGTACAACTGTCCTATAGGGTTTCTTGGCTGTTAGCAGCCACTCCAAGGAAGGAGGTAGGAGGTCCGATCCTTTACTTCCGTAAAAATTGACCACCTCAGAAACCCAAAAGGGGGTCACCATGAGTGGAAATCGACTCGATGGCAGCGAGTTTTGTTTGAACCTAACCAGGTCGTCAGCAGCTCGAACCTACCAGCCGCTTCATGGCAGAAAGACGTTGCAGTCCGCTTCCATAAAGATTTAGACTTGGAAACCCTCTGGGGCCATTCTGCTCTGTCCTCTAGAGCTGCTGTGAGTTGGAATTGTTCTTGACAGCCATGTTTTTAGGTTATGGTATAGGGTCTCCAAGGCTGCAATCTTTAGGGGAGCAGATCATCACGTCCTTTTGCTGCGGAGCGCCTGGTGGGTTCAAATTGTCGACCTTTCGGTGCGTAGTTGAGTGCGCTGCATCACTAGGGCTCCTCTGGTCATTGTAAGGACCCCAAAGGACTGCTACCCTTGGAGTTTTGTGGTCCAGACTCCCCACCTTGCTGCAGGAGCCCATCTTTTTCTCTCCTTCGAAGAGGTAGTCTTCGGGCAGTCTGGTTGCAGAAGTTCCCCCAGCCAGCTGTCTAAGACCAGACCCCCAGTACATAGTTGGTTGTACAACACTGCCATCTCGTGGTCATTTCCTTGTTCCACCCTGAACTCCACGGAACTCTCATCATGCCATCATTTCCAAAACCCCACCAAGCCTCCTCCCACTTTAAGACTCTTGTTTGAACTGTGTCTCCTGCCAAATGTTTCCATCCCTGTTCCCTTCTGCTTAGCTAGTTCCTTGGAAATGGTACATTAAAAATAAAGAAAAACCAGCAGTCGCCACAAAGTCAGTTCCTGCTCACTGGTGACCGAAGGTCAGAGGAGAACCGTCTCTGTAAAATTTTTTTTGTTCTTTCTTTTTAATTTTTATAGTCATCCAAGTGAAAGTCTACAGAGTAAATTCGTTTTCTTTTTTTAATGTGAAAACACACAACAGGACATTCGCCAGCATAACAACTTCCACATTTACAGCTTGGGGACACTGATGACCCTTTTCATGTTGGGCCACATGTTGTTATCCTTTTCCAAAATATTCTACCATCATGAGCAGAAACTCAATGCTCTGCAGACAGAAACTTCCCCTTTCCCCCTCCCTCCTACCCCTCCAACTCAGGCAGTATCTTTATGGAAGTAGGTTGCCCAACCTTCCAAGGAGTGGCTGGTGGGTTCGAACCACCAGCCTTGTTGTTAGCAATCAAATGCCTTAGGCACTATGCCACCAGAGCTCCCTGGTAACCACTAATAATCTTTGATGTGTATATGTATATGTACTTTTTTTTCCCACCTTATTTAGGAATTCTGCCCCCTCCCAGGTAGCAAATTCATTTTCCATACAGCACTTCGTACACATTTTGTTTCATGAGATTGACTGCAACTCCCCACAATGTAACAGCTCTCTTCCTACTTCCTCCCTGTAGTTACCTCTTTCCTGTGTCCTTCTTTCCTATGCATCCCTGCCCCCTGAGCTATCTCCCTGTGCAAATACTACCTTCCTGTTCTCCAGTGATTGAGCTAATTCTAGGGAGTATAAATATCATATACATCTGTCTATTGTTTGGCTAGGAGCTCTGGTAGCATAGTGGCTAAGGCACTTGACTGCTAACCAGAAGGCTGGCGGTTCAAACCCACCAGCCACTCCTCGGAAGGAAGATGGGGCAATCTACTTCCGTAGTGATACTGCCTCGGAAACCCAAGGAGGGGTCGCTATGAGTCGGGTCCGACTTGACGGCACATAACAACAACAACAACAACAACATTGTTTGGCTGGATACCACAGGAGTGAGTTCACTTCCAGAGCTGAAGGGTAACTAATGTCATCATCTCAGGGGGTCTCACCAGGCTCTATCAGACCAGTAAATCTAGTCTTTTTAATTATTTTTTATGATTTTGAGTTTTGTTCCACAATGTTCTCTCAAGGATCTGCACCGATCCCTTTCAGAGTGGCTGACAGTGGTAGCCGGGCACCATCCAGTTCTTCTGGTCTCAGAGTTATATAGGCTGAGGATCACATGGTCCACTAGTCTCTTGGACTCATTGTTTCCATGTGTCTTTGGTCTTCTTCATTCTTCTTTGCTCTGGACGAGGAAAGACCCACTGTTGCATCTAGAGGGCCACCTGCAAACTTAAGACCCCAGTCACTACTCACCAAAGTAGGATGTAGGACAGTGTTGTTGTGTGGGCCATCAGGTTTTCAATGGCTGATTTTTTGGAAGCGGATTTTCTTCTGATTCACTGCCGCGTGGATTTGAACCACCAACCTTTCCGTTAGCTGCCGAGTGTGTTCACGGTTCACACCATCCAGGAAATACTAAGGAAGTCACTTGCTACAGATGCCCTGCTCTGATCTGGCGGACCTGTGTATGGCTTTGACATGTCTGTGTCTGTAACTATAAACATTTTGTCCTTTTTTGTTGTTCAAAACCTGTCTCCCAGGCTTGACTGTGAGCCCCAGGAAGGCAGGTGCTGCTACACCGTCCACGACTGGAACACCCAAGACAGGTACCCAATCGACGTCTTAAAAGACGCTGGTTACCATTAACGTGGAGCACAAACAGGCACGTTGGGGCCCTTTCTCCCAGTTAGAAGGCACATAAGCTGGTGAAGGGGATGGCATTTTATTGTTACTCACACGCCAGCTTCCCATCAAAGCTGGACAAGCAGATGGCGAAAGCTTGGAGCGGACAAAGCGGGAAGCGGAAGTCCATGGTGAACGAGTCTTGGGCCACGCGGCCGAACTGAAGCACCAGGTACTCGGCTGCGGAGAGTCAGAAACTAAGCCCTTCCTCCATCCCTCAAGTCACTGCCGCGGGCCCCTGAGCAGCGAGAACTACGACTCCCAGGGGGCCGAGCGGCAGACCGCCTTCCAAAGCCCGGAAACTCTCCGAAGGCCGAAAGCCAACCCACAGCCAATTAGTAGATTCCGACCAAGTAAACTACAATTCCCAGAAGGCTATACAAACAACATGGCGTCTACGCTGCCTTTTAAAAAGGCCCAAGTGCTGATGGGAGGTGTAGTTCTCGGCCGTTCATGACCCCTCGGCCCAGGTTCCTAGGAGCTCACGGTCATCCGGATGCACGATCTGGAAGTTCTTCACCGAAGCCCGAGTGACGCGACCGTGGAAATTGAGCACGTAGGCGCCGCTCTCTTCGCTCCATGATGGGGCTTTGTTTTGCAGTAGTAACAGCCCCTGATTGGCTCCCCGTTGGAGGCGACTCAGTAACGACTCCTGTTCCTAGGAGGCAAAGTAGGGGGCGTGGTTGTTTACGTGCCACCAACCTGCTTCGCCCCCCCCCCCCCATCGGTCCGTAGAATCTGGGGGCCCTGTTCTCTGCTCTCTTGGACACAGGAGTCTGGCATAGTCCTCCCGGATTCTCAAGATCTATCGCCCATTCCTCCCTTGACCCAGAGATTGAGGGACTCACATTTTGTGGCTGGAACTTGATTCTCCGGTTCTGGCCATCGAATCCTGGGATGATCACGGTCATCTTCCGGGGTCCCCGGAATCCCAAGACGTTGGTCTTCTGGGGGCATGATGCTCGGGTTGGATTGCTTTCACTTCCCTCCCCAGGACCCCGCCCCATTCTCACTCCTCTGACACTCACATAACACACAGCCCCCAGCTCCTCTCTGATCCGAGCAGCCTCCGGGCCGGAATTCTTCCGGTCAGGGTTTACTCCGTTGTCAAAGATGGTGAACTTGGTGCCCAAGATATTGGATCTGCGCCATGATGGAAACAGAGAGAAAAAAAAAAAAAGTCAAAAAGAATTATCACCTTTTTGGTTGTAGGTGACCGCCCCATTCATCTTTCATTATTCCCCGTGAACACAGAAGGCTCCATGAGGTGAATGAAGTCCTTTGCTAGGAATCGGAGGAGCTGGGATTCAATACTGCACTTTCAAGTCTCAGTTCTTCAACCCTAGGCTCTTCCGCCTCCTGAAAAACTTCAGAATTGCACGTTTTTGCTTCTATAGCCCCTACCTTTTCAGTCCTCGCCGCCAGAAGCCAGTATCCACAATCCCAGTGCCTGCATCCTTGGGTGCAACGTGGTTGGTTTGTTTGTTTTTTAATCCTCCTACCTGCGCGCTTTCAGGACTCACTTCCTCCTTGGATGCAAGAACTCACACATCCCAGATCAATTCTCCCACAAGGGCTTAGGAGTCCCAGTTCCTTGCTTCTCGAGAAGTGAAATATCTTAAATACAAGCGTTCCTCCAGAGCCTGCAGCTCTTTTAGTCCCAACCCTGAAGAACTACAAAACCCATGTCCTAAGAGAAATGGTCCTAGAGCAGGTGGTATGTGTAGTCCATGGCCTGATGGGAAATGTAGTCCACTCATACCCTTCTTCCCCATTCTACCCTCCAGCACCGCTTGCCACCCGTTTCTCACCCACATCAGGGCTCTGCCCACCTGACTTTGCCCACAAAGTGGTCCCCATCCCGAGACAGGTCTGTGGGGTCCAAGGAGATGAGGTAATTAGAGGTTTTGCTCCTTTTCCTCTTACGCCCAGCCAGAAGGAAGTGCTGTGGATGGGAAGAACAGCTCGTTAGAATTTATTTCCGGCATCTAAGATTAAGGGTCGGAAGACCAGGAAAAGCCATGTGTCCATGACAGGAGAGAGGGTGGCGGAGCAGTACTGTCCCCAGGCTTGCTAGGGAATGTGATTCTCACTGGATGGAGTCGTGCCCCTTAAGGTGAACTTCTCATCTTACTATCTCTCCTTTCGTTCCACTGTTGGGTCAGGGGCGGGGCTTAGTCAGCACAGATAAACCTGACCTGACCGGGTAGGGCCCAACTTTGGGGAATAGGTTAGACCTTCACTTGAACATTTGGGCAAGACTGTAGGAATTTCATCTGGAAAAAACAGCCGTGGCTCTGAGTACGAAAGAAGCCTCTTTCTGTGAAAGACAGGGTACCCTGAGAAAAGGGGGGCCACACTGGGTGAAAGGAAATGACTCACAGAGGGAAGTTATACAATGTGGGGCTCAGGTAAAGGAGAGGTGTGACTAAGAGGGGGCGTTGCCTGGTTTTGGAATAGGCATCCTTGACGCAGGGAAGGCCGCGCGCCAAGCTGCAGGTTTAAGTGTGTGAAGGGGCGTGGCTTGGCTCCAGAATAGCGAATCCGTGAGGGGCGGGGCTAGGTGTCAGGCTCTGGGGGTTTAGCCATGGGCTGGATCGGGTCTCTGTGAAGGGACGGGTCTTGGGCCAACCAAACCAAACTCACTGCCATCCAGTGCATTCTGACTCACAGCGACCCCCACTGGGTTTCCGAGGTGATAAATCTTTACAGGGGAGCTCTGGTAGCATAGTGGCTAAGGCACTTGACTGCTAACCAGAAGGCTGGTGGTTCAAACCCACCAGCCACTCCTCGGAAGGAAGGTTGGGCAATCTACTTCCATAGTGATACTGCCTCGGAAACCCAAGGAGGGGTCGCTATGAGTCGGGGCCGACTCGACGGCAAACAACAACAACAACAACAAAGCATGGTACCCTGGTGGTGAAACGGTTAGCGCTCAGCTGCTAACCAGAAGGTCAGTGGTTTGAACCCACTAGCAGCTCCATGAAGGAAAAGACCCAGAGACCTGCCCTAGTCAAGATTACAGTCTGGGAAACCCTAGGGGGCAGTTTTACTGGGTCACACGGAGTTGCCATGAGTCCCAATGAACTGAATGTCCACCACCTCAATTATCAACAAGGCCTGGATTGGAAAAATTCTTGACTGCCCCTCAGAAAGGTACGAGATTTGTCCGTGGGAAGTCAGGCTTGGTCCCGCGGCTAGAGGGGCTGGACCGGCTCTGAAGAACCGAACCGCACCTTCCGGCCGTCCGCTGCCTCTTGGTACAGGTAATAGAAGGGAAACATTCCCTTGTCTACGCCGTGTTTGTCCCGGTTGATGCGGCATTGAACAGTGTGGCCCCGGAGCGCGGGCCGCAGCACGTACGCCTCCATGTTCTCGCCCAGTCGAGGGCCCGGGGCCCGGAGCAGCATGCAATATGTGTTCCCTACATCTCCACTTCCAGTGCCGTCCTCGCCTCCCGGGTACTGGGACACTTCCTGCTCCGCTGCCACCAAGTTCATCGCTGCAGACTCTGACTCCGAATCCTCTTTATTCACTTCCAGGTCTTCACCCTGGACCAGGAGCCAAATTCAATGTCGAAAGATAACCAAATCCCCAGGCTTGCCTGCCATTGATTGGCCAACCTTGCTAAAGGTTCCGCCCCCTTTCCACCCATGTTTTCTGCCTATTGGCCAAGCATCTCAACCCTCCGCCCTTTCACTTTAGTAATTGGCTAGTCCCTAACGGGTAAACTGGAGCGTCAGCGAAAAAGGGTAACAACCTCCACACGATGCATTGACCGTGGCTGCTACGATGGGCTCAGGTATAGCAAGGATTGTGAGGCTGGCGCAGGACTGCGCACCGTTTCATTCTGTTGTACATTTGGGCGCTATGAGTCAGAACCGACTCAATCACACCTAACAACAACAGTGCGTTCAATGGGCCCACTCAGTTGAGCCCTCATCATGGACTGATTGGCCAGCTCCATTCAGTCTCGTCCACTCCGGAAGTTCCCTTTTAGACCACTACCTATTGAACCAAAATTGGTGTACGCTGGGTCTCTAGATCATATATCTATTACAACAGATCTCCTTCAGTAAAAGCACCCCAAAATTGGCCTTCTATGTCGCGGTTTTGCCCTCTCCGAAACCAAACCCACTTCCATGCAGTCAGTTTAAACTCATAGCGACCCCCATTGAGTTTCTAAGGCGGTAAATCTTTACCCAAGTAGATTGCCCAGTCTTGCTTCCACGAAGTGGCTGATGGGTTTGAACCACCAATCTTCTGGTTAGAAGTCAGATGCCTTAGGCACTGTGCTACCCTTAAATGAATTGGATTCCAATGGCCACGCCCACATCTCTTCAAATCCTCTAGATCTGACTGGTGGCGTTCACAGAGTCTCTGCTAGCCCAATCACCACAGACTTCTTGGTGGCTCCGCCCACCAGAAAACAAGGACTCTGATTGGCCATCAGAATTTTGGCCCCACCCTTCGTAGAAGGCCGAAGCTGCTGGTCAGGTTCCTACCTGGTTGAAAGCCAGGCCTAGTTCCTGGTCGTTATCCATTCCAATTAGTTCCAGACTGAGCGGCATGTATTTGTATGTGCCATCCTGGGATTCGATCTCATCCTCTGCACTCGTCCCTGGGGAGTGGATGAAGCCTGGGATTAACCGCAGGATGTCAGTGTCTTAGAGGCAAGAGACAAAGTCAGCAGTGGTGGATGGAGAAGTCCTGAATTCCAGGGTTTTCCTCCTCCCCCGTGTGCACGGGGGGTGTCTGGCCGGGATGAAGACTCTCTGAGGACTGAGAGGAGTTTGAGTCCTCCCTTTCCCTGGTCATGGATCGTAACTAAGTCTAGGGG